CTCTGAGCTCTGAGACACAGTAAACTGTGGCACTGTGGAGTAGGATTTATCACGTATCAGCTAGTCCAAGGCAAATGTTTGCAGTACACAAGCTGTCAGCCAACAGCAAACATATGACGGTGTAGTGCATTCCCCTATCAGGATTCAAGCTCAAAGTAATTTTATATTTAATCAGAGCTTATATACGCAGAAATCCTACAGCTACATGATCATTTGTCTGGGTCCTTGTTTAGAAAAAAAAAGGTAATAATAATTTCAACTCCCAGTCCGTATTACTGCGCTAGCAAGGAAGTAAAATTGCTGCAGACAATACGCAAGCAACTTGGAGATGAAATGTGTAACTGCTATCATCTCTATATTAGAGCATAGATATTGTGCCAAATCAGTACAGAACATGCTTGTCTTTCAATGCTGCACTTCCACCCATCTGCAGTGTTTCATAACACTGAACACAAGTAAGACCAAAAAGTTGATGATATAATTCAACAGATTTGACACTTACATAAGATTTTTCTGCATAAATCAGTGAAGAAAAACATATAGATGAGAACAGAGAAAACATCCTTCCCACACTTAAAATAAAGAATACAGTCACCTTGACAACATCTGTTCTAGCAGACAGAATTTTTCTCAGCGTGTTGTTTAGCCTCTGAACTTTGGTCTCTTTGTTCTCAGATTCTTCCTGCTTTTGCAAACAGTCCAGCTGCTCTTCCTTACCAATTTCCACCAAGGCAGGCCGACATGGCTCATCCAGAACAACTTCAAACTTCTTCATGAATTTAAAGAGGGTCCTAATTACCAAAGGAAAGCAAAAATGTTACGGGGTTTTATAATCCTGGAAATCTCTCAGCTGCTGGAAAGAAATGTTTCCACTGTGTTGTGAGCAGAAGAAACATTCTTGCATTCAAATTTAACATTATAGAGAAATCATCTAGAAGGAAGGTTCCAAATATGGAGCTTAATTCCAAGCTCTGAGTTACCTGCGTATTTTTTCAACGGATTGTTTTATAGCCCAGAAGCTGACGTCATTCCACTTTGAAATTTTCACAAACTCCTATTACGAAAATAAATAATCAATGGGATTACTTATATAAATGCAATGAAGTATTTGCATATGAAAGATGATCTTTAAAGCTGATCTGCTATGATGATCTGGCAGTCTTAAAATGCAAGACATTTTAGTAAGTGAGCAAATTATTGCATAGACATCTTATTCTATTAATATATGTGTTTACGCTAAAACTGCTGCATTGTGAAATCCAAAGGGGCTTCACTACTAGGGAGAAACCTCCATGGCAAAATGGGAATGACCGAACATTAAAGACTTCAACCAACACCCCCCCCCCAATAAATTATTGCCAAAGAAAATGTGAAGTATAGTAGGGATTTCAGCGGCCAACAGAGCTATGATATACAAATTCAAGTAATATCTGCTCCACTGTTCCTTTGATTAGGTCAGTATATTGTCTGAGCAAAGTTTCCTTTTACCTTAAGTTCCTTTTCTATAGGTTGACGAAGTTCAGTGATTCTGGCCTCAACACACTCTGAAAACTGCTTATAATAATTGTACAGATTCCACAGGATGCTGCACAGAACATCTAGAGGGGACAGACAATAACAAGCTTCGTTTAAAACAGGATATTCTTCAGTATTGAGAGGAGAAATGCATCCCTTTTTTTGTAATCGTGAAACTTAGCAACACCAAAAGATGGGGTAAACTGACCAACAGTATTCTTCACGAAAACGGGAGAAACAGCAGCATAGGCTTGTGTTGTATTTATGAGCTTAGTGAACTGTTTGGGAAGTCTTGAATACCTGATGGTCAGGCTGTTGTAAAGAAGACTCAACACATGTAATGCTAACAACTTACCCTTTTCTGCTACTTGAGGCATCAGCAGGACATGGCAGTGGAAAACCAGTAGTGCTTGAAGTCGTGCATGAAACTCTCCCAGCGTGGATCCTTCAATGAAAGCTTGTAGTGTGCTGACCAGTGTTTTCAGATCCATTTGCTCAGTTTCTGAACATTGCACCAGAAATTTAGAAGGAAAGGGGGAGAAAACAAACAAACAAAACTCTACATGAAAATTGTTGTCTCCTCTTTGTAAACTTCCAACTAAAGATCAGGTCTCTATTAGGAAAGGTTCAACACAAAATAGGAAAGGGGCGTGGGGGAAGAAGAATTTAATTTAATAATAAGTAAAACCAACAAACAAGACACTAGAAGAAAGGAGAGGAGACAAGAGAGGCAGCAGTAAGATAGAAACCGAGGAGGCCAGCGACATGTCCAATTTCAGAACGTATCAGGTGTTTAAAGAATACTTGCTATTCTTTATGAATGAATGGCTTTTTCGGTTATGATGAGCCATACTATAAATTAGTCACTGCCAGTTCCTTAACTCCTCAAAATCATGAAGACAGAAATAGAACTTAGAAGAATCTGGTAGAAAATACAGTGTCTTTAGGGCATTACCTATGGAAGAAGACATGCTGTCTACTTGGAGATGTAAAATAACTCAAGGATCTGAAGCTCGTCAAGTAAGTGCATTAATTAGTCATGAGATTGGAAGAACCCCACCTCATGCCAGAGGATGCTACTTTCGTCTTCACAATTTCATTAAATTTTGGGGAGGCAAGGGACTGAGAGCTATATTCTTTCCCCTATTTTATGTAATGTGAACACCTGCAGACAGATTTGCTAAGAACAGTATGTACCAAAACATACTTACTGTACGAATTCTTTAGGCTTTATACAGAATGTTAAAAGCAGTTCAGCTGGGATACGAATTATGCTTTGTGCAGTTAAAAAAAATGAGGCACCTTTTCCAGCTGCAGATGGAGGCCTCCTACCCTCCAAATCTGTTTGAAATGTTTATATGTGCATGACAAAGTAGAACTATGGTAACTGTCTTTTAGATGCTTTTTGCAGACATTTTTTTCTTTATACCACCTACAATGTTGGTCCTATGAGAGACACAGGTGGTTCCAGAAATAAATACCAAGCGAAGTTCACTCTATATGGAGACCCTATACAGTCATGGAATTTATTGTAGAGCAAAGGGGACAAGAACTAAACCTGAAATTGTCAAACTCTGGCACTTAGAACCTTAATTATGCATTCTTAGTAATTGCTGGAACTGCATCACACATTCATATAAGGACAGCACTTACCTTCTGTGTTTGCCTCTGTCTGTTCTTGAACATACTTCTCAATCATCTGATAGATTGAGAACCAGTGCTTTGTGGATTTCTCTACATGCTGCTTCATAATATTGTCCAAACTTACTGACCAGCAACTAGAAACAATAAGGAAGGGGAGAGAAGAAAAAATAAAGCAAAAACATTGTGGGTAGTTTGGGCTCCAAACACCACAAACTTTATTCTCTGTTTCTACTAAACTAAAGGAAAATTTTACAGGATGGAATAATCTGCATATATGCTTAATATATACAATCAACTCTGGAGGATCACTGCTTTGCCACTACTACTAAATATGAGAAAAGAAATACAGGAACTAGGGACGGTAAAACAAAACCAGTCAGAGCCAGGTTCAAAAGTTTCTCTTCACAAAACTTGAGGTAGACTTGTGGAATTCCTGATCATGGCATACTGTGGATATAAAAATTTTACTTGATCTTAAGAGGACACTGGACAATAATTTTAAGGAAAATTTAATGGGGATTGTTAAACAGAAAACACTGCAGGCTCAGCAAACCCTCGGAAGAAAACAGGAGAACACTGGGAAAATATTAGGATGAAGTACTGTAGTTAATCGGTCCTGCTTCTATTCCTCCTGAAGCATATACATAGGGTCACCATGGGCTGGACACGCTCATTCTAAGCCAGTACAGCTGCTCCTTTGGGGTGTTTTTTCCCCCACACTGTTACTAGGACAGATGCACACACACAGAAGCATGTTCCATGATTAAGGCAATTCTGCATTGGAATGCATCTCCATACAGAGATGGAAGCTTACAGTATCTAAGAAAAAGCAGTAGGGAAGGACAATTCTTACTTACTTCAACTCCAATCTACGCCACTGAATAATCAGTTGTGTGACCAAATCAAGATGTTTTCGCAAGGACAAAGCTCGACTAGCATTTTCCTCCCAGTCCTGGGGAGG